AGGCCTAGTTACAATGATTACGGACAATACGTTGACCAGGGTTTCAATGATATTCGCCAACATGGCTATAGGCAAAATGACCATAGGCAAAACGACTCGTTTCAGCAGGAAGGCTGGGGACAAGAACCTGACCCTCGCATTCCAGCACAAAACCCTAGGGGAGGACATGTCCGATCGTCAGGACACCCGAGTCAGTTAAACGATTAAGGGTCTCTCAAGCCCGGGAATTTGATGGGACCCCTGTAAGCAAATTTAATCTTAAGCAAAGTAAGAAAGACATTGACATGTCTCCACAGCAAATTGAAAGTAAATCAGCAGAGGGAAATAAGAACTTTCCCCTTAGTAATCCACAATTGACGGACAATCAGAATGAACAATTTACTCAGCGAATTGGCATCCCGGACAATTCGATAAGTGATTCTATTGATATTAAGACTGATGACAGTCAGATGAATCTGAAACAAGGCGAAAATTTGGCAAATGACGAGATTGTCTCTAAAAATAAAGCCCAAAGTGACAAATTAGCAAWTGATGAGACYGTTTCTACAGATAAAGTTGATTTTGAAAACAAGAGTTTCTCTGAGAACGAGATACGCGAACTCTTCACTGAATTACCATTTACGAATAATGACTACGTGGACAATGACRTACCGCAAATAACACTGYTTAGACCTGATGAGTTTGTTAGCATGAATGATTTAAGCGATTCGACACAATCGAATGTTACTAACTCAGCGGACACTCAAACAGATCAGACATTCACACCCACTAGTCAAGACCCACTCCCGCCAATAGGCGAGTTATATAAGACATTTTTCAGGCAATTYTTACAAGTCATTGTAATGACCCTAGCACTATTAGTGTTTCCGGCTTTACAATTTATCACATATTCCCAAGATTATATCGCGAAGTTAGGTTACTATGTTGTATCGAAGAAAGACATTTCCAAAGGGACCATTAAGTTTATTATGAGAAATATTGGCGCCATATTTTTTAGTATTCAGGGACAATTTTCCAAGTTAAGGATGTATTTTTATAGTGATGCACACCAAAGTCAAAGTGTTTTCCAAGTTTATAGTAAAAAGTCTGCAGCATTTTATACTCGTTTAGTAGAGTGCATTTTTCAAGTTCCATTTGTTCRGTTTTACAAGATGCATCACAATTTAGATGACAACACATGTCAACACGTATTACAAAGTTCAGAAGATAAATTTTGCCAAGTCCCACATATAGAAGTTTTAAATGAACGTAGGCAAAAATGCAACGATGACRCGGAAGTGYACARCCGGAGTTCTAGCATTTTTGAGGAACACGTTCCACATTTTTCAAGTAATGGCCAAACAGAAAACAAAGAAGTAATCGGAAATGTTGACACTGTTCCTTTCTCATCAGATACAGCAAACCTACCGAGTCGTTTCAATGCACATGTTAGTCTAGTGACTAACACACTAAATTTGCCTGAAAGTATTTTTTCCAAAGAGCTAAGTGATAAGAATAAGACACCTATTATTATAGACCACTGCACGGTACACCTTTTAGAAACAAAAGACTTACCACCCCGTAAGACAGTTTTGACTGTTGGACTAAAACACCCATTTGATCCAGGAGGTACTTTTAGCTGTTTTATGTACATGTGATCACACTGACACATACGCTGTGATCGGAATATTTACGAGATCTATAATAGAGATTACCTCAATATTGCTGGATATGAATATGAAATGCTATGAAAAGTACCAAAATTTATGAATTCGTTCCTGAAGTTTCAAGTGAAATTCGAGATATTGACACTCAATTTGCGCTTATTTACAAACGATTTACCACAATTGGTTATTTCTGTTATTTCTGCAAATTTCAAGGCACAAAATAAACTGTTATTTTCAACGGCAATTTTAAAAGATGGATTTTCACTGTTTGTGAAATCAGCAACTGAATATGAACGTCGTGATAAACATATTTCGCTTCATAC